ACAGTCTTCTATAGATTCCCATAAAGAGTCCTTTGAAGACAAAAAGAAAAAAATTCGAAAACTCCGGTAGGAAGACACGAATCTTTCGTATGTGCTTGTTCGCTATACGAACCGCAAGACGCACAAGAAGCTTTCACAAAAATTTTTTTATTACTTTTGAAAGGTTTTTTATGAAGTGGGTAGATATTCAGTTACCGCCTAATACTGGATGGAATTCACTTCACATGATGAAGCTTTTCTATGAATCTTTAAACAAACCGAAGCATATTCTGCTACAGAAAATCAGTTATTGTTGACTACCGTTCAGTTAAACCTGAGGAATCATTCTGAAAGATTCCAGGTCAATTTTTGAATTGCTTTCTAAAGCTCAGTTTGTACGTTAGAGCCAGTGTTCCCAATGGAATCACCAAAGTGTCCCATGGAACAACTCGTTTAATAAAAAGATTTCAAATCTAGTATCGATTCCTACGATTTTTCATTTAAGCAACTGAGTCCATTCTGTTCGTACATGTTGCAATAGGTTTATTCGATATCAAATTATTATACTAATCACATACATTTTATTGGTTTCTCTCGAAATCAAATAGAGAATCTAGGGTATTAGGATTTTGACGAAATCTCGCGGCTACAATAGTGAATTCATCGAAATCTATATAATATAAGTTTAATTGATTCCGTCGGAACTTATAATCTATTTTTGTGATCAGAGGATTTTGTTTTCATATCTTTACATAATAGAATGTAATAAGAGTTTTCTCTGTAGCGTAGTTTTTTCATCATGAATTATCAATTTCTAGTCTTTTTTTCTAGATTTCCCCAGTGTTACGAATTAATAGAAATTTTTACATATACTATGGCGCATTTTACTGAATTTTAGATATTTACGAATTCTTTTGAAATCTATAACATTCGGGGCTGGGCGTAATCTACCAAAATCTACTATATACCCATTACTTCATTTTCATTGGACGGTTATAAAATATTGTTTTGAAAATTGATTTAAAGTGAAAATTCTTTATAGCCCGGTTTCTTCATTGATACAATCAAAAACTATGCAGGAGTACGTTAAAAAAATAATTTCTTATGAACTATATAGAAATATAAAAAAGAAGCTTTAGGTCTCATTATTTGAACTTCTGAAAAAAATATTTGAAAATGTCTTATGAAACCTAGTAAAAAAATCAGAAACCAACGTATGTGTTTTGAAGAAATAAGATGAACAATGCGGTTATAACAAATTTTATTAGTCAGTAATTCTTTAAAGTACTGATTGAAACCACATTTTAAAGAAAAAAACTTAGACTTTGCCATTAAAAAGAAAAAAATTCGATGAGATCAGAAAATTATCCCATCGCATCTCATTCGAAGGTCCTTTAAAAATCGTGTCTTTGATCGAAATCATGAGTTTTTGAACAGTTTCATGGGTTCTAGAAACTATCTAAAGAGCCACGTTTTCTGTCACAGAAAGTTTTTAACAGCTTATTCTTTTTATGACTCCAATTTCAGGTCTGTCACGTGATCGAGTTACCAGACATATGTATCCACAAAACACCTAAAAATGATCCTTTCCTTGTATACCTGGTAGTACTGATCAATTTATCTAGTTGTCATTCATCTGAACTCATCATTTTACGAGGGTGTGGGTGTGGATGTAGATGTGGGTGTGGGTGAGGAGTGAGATAAACGAACACCCAAACCCACCCACACCCACCCACATCCACACCCACACCTTCTTCTCATTCTATATCGTCACTCACTCATATATTATAAGTATTGTTCTCATCTATCTATTCTTACGCTATGCCCTTACTCCATTGTTCTGACATATGTGTTCGCTCCTTGGCCTCATCTTCTTTCTATTCATCATCTCTTATTCTACTCTAGGATATAAGCGTGTGCTTTATATTTAAATGAGACGATTATATGATATGAAGGAATAGAATCATCAACCACACTCACATTCCTTCTATCATTTTTCGGCACACTGTTGATCGTCAAATTCACCTAATTTATAACTCTTGGATTCTATTTTTAAATATAAACTACTCGTAAATCTTATTACAACAAAGATAATTTTCATCCATAAATAGAAATGTCATGTCAAAATATTTCAACAGTTTTATAATTGCTAATTCATTTGAGCGAACAATTCTGTTCAATTTAAAAAAAATGATGGTAACTATATTCGTTGGATAAGCGTTATCATTTTATGGAGAATTCCATAAAAAGGTAAGACATCGGACTAACAAGAATTATTTCTTCATCGAGAATAGAAAAAAATCATAGTACATTAATTTGATTAATCTCCGATGCAAAAGTAATTGCCGATATCTCAATTCATGATTTTCCGCTCAGAAACATCATAGAGAGTTCAATTTTTTTTCATATTAAAACAACAAAGTCTTACCTTCGAAAAAAACATACAAAAAAATTTTGTTTTTCGGATTAATTTTGAATGAGAAAAAAGTTTGATATCAAATATCACCAAAAAAGACCTTTACGACTTCTGCCCCCTTTACAAACGTATATCTCACATCTAGCCTATTTGTTTAACTATAACACGTTACGTTTGAAATTACATATAATCATAGAATGTAGAAGTATTTTTATCACTCTTTCAAATCGGATATAATAAATTATGGTTTGCTACACTTTATGATCGCAATACTTTACAAATTTTTTATTGATTTCAAAGCAAAGACATTTTATTTGTTTATTGTTCAAGAACTTCTGAGAAACTTTCGAAAGTATGAAAATCGATTAATTTTTGTAAGAAGGACTTTCTCATCTGTTTAGTGTTTAAGAAAATTTTTGTCGTATGTTTTTTCAAATTTAGGTTGTGCTCTTTCAATAGCAAAAAGTTGATGAGCATTTATTTATATTATTTAAAGTTCTTCGATAATTATTAAATAAATCAAATCTTGACAAGTAAAATTTAGTTTTAGAAAAAAAACGAATATATCGAAATTTAAAACTTTTTTTGTTTAAGAAAATATCTTCGAGAAATTGAAAGAAAAATGTGAATATTAACATGCAACTAACAGCCTTTTTTGAACAATGGAGCAACAAAGGTTTATTCGTTTTTATTTTTTCTATTATGGAAAGGTTTTTGTAATGTTAGGTTTTACCAAAAAACACGTGATGTTTGTTTGAATTAAATAGTATCTAGAATTTTATCAATATTAACATCTTGATGAATTAGTTGAATTAATACTTCAACGTTATTGACAAATTCCTAAATTATTCAGGAAAATTAAAATAAAATCATTTTTGTTTTTCCTTGTAATTTGCTAGTATACGCCAAAAAATAAAATAAAACAAAAGGTAATGCATGTCGTTGAACAGAATAACATGAAATGAAACAGAGATAAACACGATTAGCCCAACCTCTACAGGATGAAAAATAATGTAGCTGATGCGTAGAGCCCATCGGGTCCGACTCGACAGTTTTTAATCCAAAAGTAGAAGTCACATTCTTATCCGATCACCATCATGGTGCCCTGAGAAATATGGACGACATGCTAGTTGCTGAATTTAAATAAGCGAAAAACGTATGTCGTATATAGATGAACCCTACTGCCGTTGCTAATCACAGAGTGTTAGTTTTGTTCTGTCTATCGGCTGGTCTAAATTCAATAATAATGTCAATATCTCCTTCAGTTTGTATAACTTTAACTAAATTTCTTTTCAAAAAATTTTCGTTCAATTCTCTATAAAAAATGTGCAAGGACGTTTGATCTCAAAGTTATATAAGGGACATTGCCCGAACAATACTATGAAACTTCGACATGTGCAACTTTCTAAAGCACTTTTCCGAAAACAAAAACTCGAATACTTTTCTAAGATTGTAAATATAAGAAACTGTTTTCAATCAAGTACTGCAACTGAATAAGCTATTTCTTCAAATTGGCTTGCTAAGGGCCAAAATTTCATTTTTTTCTCTATTGATATCATTCTTAAAAAGACCAAAAATTTGATCATAGGCTTCCACACACTGCGTCGCGACTCTCTCCTTAAAATAAAACAAACATAAGCACAAAAGACGCATTTTTGTTCGACTTCGACGAATTCTTTTCTAAATGCCAAAAACCGTTCATATTAAATAATGATTTTTGAAAAATTTCTTTAAAATAAAACAAAAACCATCTTTTTGTAGTTCACGTTTTCATCTAAAAAATTTTGAACTGCATCTAAAAGATAGAAGTTTTCAAGGCTAATAATACGAATAATTTTATTTCTTGATTCCTCCAAATGTCATCAAATAAAACAAAAACTACCAGAATTTTTTTCAACAAAAGCGACACATATCAGAGTTTTACAGTCTTATTGACACTGCCATTTAATCTGGACAACTTGGTATATATAGATATAACGGGTTGTGTCGATCTCAAACGATGTATGTAACAAAAAAAAATTATTTCAGTTGACAATTCTTAGAAAAGATAAGTATGTCGATATCTGTACCCCAAGCTCTCGCCCACACGTACATCTGTGGTTGAAATTAAGAATCATACTCATACCTCCATGATAATAATCGAAAGAATCCAATTATTTTTCATTAAACTCATTCCATCAATTTATCAAGTAGACCGATTTCTTATTCATTTTCGAATCAATATAAAATTACTTCAATTTCTTTCAAAGTTCTCAAGCCTTGGTAAGTTAGTAATAAGAAATTTTGAAGAATTAAAAATATAATACATCTGATAAAAAATTTAACATTGACATAAGTTAATTAGAGAAAAACAACGTCATCATTATAAACTAAAGTATTTAATAGTCTTTATCTGATAGGAACCACTTTTGTTACAATCGATTATTTCTTTTTTTGATCATTTAATTTGAAGACAATATACTTTGTTCTAGATACAGGTACGCATGAGATAGAATAGGGTGTGAGTGGGGGTATGAGTTGGGATGTGTGGGTGTCGGTTTAGGTGCCCTACTACACCACACCCACGTACACACACCCAAACCCACACTCCGCACCCTCGTTATTTCTAATTAGGTCAGTATCTATTAGTAAAGACGGCAGGAAAGTTCACACCCACACCCAAAATTAATCGAAGTTTGAAATATGCCGATTGGCGATGATGTTTATTAAAAAAACAAAAAGAAATTAATTAATACGACAAGGATCATTTAAGTGTTGTTCTTCAGACGTTGGTGTTTGTTTTTGTTTATTTGAAAATTCAATAGGAATTTCTTTGATAAATTGTTCAGGAAATTTTTCTTTAATAAAGCGTTGAATATTACTTTTATTTTTTCCATAAAATTCAATAAAAACTTGATCTTTCTCTTGTGTATTCATTCTTGTATAAGATTCTGATTTCATGTTTTCCAAAAAAGCTTGTTCAAATAATTCTAAAGTTTTTTCAATTTCAATAGCACGTGGTCGTCGTTTAGAATCATCATCTAAACATCTTAAAATAATTTCATCATAAAAAACTGGACTTTTTTTAGTTATTGTAATACGAGGTAACGGTGATGCAAAACGAAAATCATGCATTCGTTCTGTAAATAATTGATTTAATGTAAGACCATATGTATATATATCTAGTTTTTCATCACATTTAACGTGTCCATCAGATGCATTACGAAAAAATTCTGGTGGCATAAATTGTATACAGCCTATTTGAGTTTGGTCATTTCGATCAAGAATACGAGCAATACCCATATCACCAATTTTAGCTACATAATCATCAGTAATAAGAATATTATCAGGTCGAATATCACGATGTATCATTCCATGTTGATGAATGCGTCTCATACCGGATGCAACTTGTCGAGACATTGATAACTTGCGTCTTATTGATACTTTATTTGGTTGAGTTTCAAGAAGATTAATTAAACTTCCACGTCCCATTAATTCCATTAATATCATAAATTGAGTTTTTGGTCCACGATTTCTATTTGCTGGTATTGTTCGAGTTGCATAAGCAAATGTTTGAAGAATATATGGACTTGATAGTTCTCGATATGCAGCTAATTCAAGAACAAAACTTCGTTGAAGTTGATGTGATGTTGATGATCCATCAGATATTTCAATTACTTTACAAGCAAGTTGATGATTTTTTGATCGCCATATTGCTTTACATACATAACCTATTATAGAAACATAATCAAAATTAGAGTTCATCTGGTAGAGCTCATTAGGTCCAAGAATTTCTGAATCAAGATCCGGACAATCAAAATTATTGGATTCGAACCTAACTGATTGATCTTTTTTAGGCAAAGCCTGTCAGGTCCAAAAATGTTCGAACCCAGATCCGAACCAGGTCGGGTATGAGTAGGACCCGATGGGCTCTATCGTCGAGTAAGATCGAGATTTGAAAATGTTCTGTTAACCTGATCCAAAAAATTTGAACCCGATGAGCTCTTACTCAACATATTTCTATTTCTGATTAATAATCAGACTTACCAAAACCTCCTCTGCCTAGAATTTCACCAATTTCTATATCATTTGGATCAATTTTCGGAATAACTCTATTCGAAGTTAATATTAATGGATGATCTCTTTCATGATTTTTCGTACAAACACGTTTCGTAATTGCACATGTTTCACATAAATTATAATTCGGACATGTATCACATTTAAAACGTAAACCAACGAAATTGTTTTGATGACAAACACCATCACAATTTATACCATCATGTTTTTCATAACGAAGTGTATCTAATTTTTTTAATTTACTTAACTTAACTTCATTATCAATATTATTAAATTGCATTCCTAAAAGTTCATTTGGCAATTTAAAATGAGCCATAGCATGTCCACTTAAATGGTTTCCTGTTTGTCGACGTCTTTCAAAACAACGTCCACATAAATCATAATTTGGTGATGAACATTCTAAACAATGATATCGATCAACTTGACGAATAGGTTTCATTTTACATGAAGCACATTCAGCATCATGAATATCACGAGTATTATCGGATTCAACATTGTTCATTAATTTTGCAAGAATACCCATTAATAATAAATCATCGACAAGATTCGAACTTTTTCCAGAAGCCGCATCTACAAGAAATTTGAAATAAGAAAAAATCTTTAAAAAAAACCATTTTATTTACTTCCAACTTGTCGTTTTGATTTTTGAGGTGATAATTTTTGTTGAATAGATTCACAATATTCTTTTGTACCTAACATAAATACAGAAAATATTTTAAAAATAGATGTTATTATTAGTTCATGCGAGCGATTCTTTAGTAGGAAAATTTTGCAAACTACAACATCCAACCAAAGTCAACAAATACAGGCTGATTCAAACGAAAAACCACCGAAAATCGATAGAACATGGAGGTAGTATTTCAAGCGAAATTGTCTCCGAATTCTTTGATTGACTTTCGGCTAACTGCTTATTCTTTCTGATGAAAAACAACCGAAAATCATCGAAAAAATTGGGAGACTTTACAATCCAAAATACTCCATCGAGTCTTAGCATTTTTCTGTGGAATATAACGATCTTGCTGCATGTGTTCAACCAGTTCTGTTGAAAATCGCTTGTTTCAGAAGACCGAAAATTTTCAATCTCAATTTATTATCATGAAATTTTGGTATGAAACAATATGATAAATGTTTTTACAATTGGATTATTCGATCAATGCGTGTTTTAGAACTCGACAAGTTCAATTCCAGTTTGAATCTGAGAACTTGGACTGTTGGAAGAGATTAGTCCTTTCGCTCATTGACTCTGAACTTTAAATTAGCAGCTAGTCCACTTCTAGTAAGTTTCTGGTATCATCTATTCCTATCTCTTTATTTTTCTTTATTTATATATTCTCTAGATTATGATCTTTAAATCAAACAAGATCGATTCCATGATCGAATATTTGTGAAAACATAGTGTTGATTTTTCTAAGATACTCAGAAAACTGGCTTTTATACTTATTTTATTTATTTAGATCAGTCAATAGTATTATTGAAATGAAAAGATTGTCAATGCGGCTCTATTAAAAGTCAAAGTACTGAACTCGCAAACTCTGACAGTTGTAAATTTATGATATATTCCAATAAAGATTATCATAATTTATTTTTAAAGCAAATGCCAAATCCATGAATAAAATCTTATCTCTGTTGTCAGATGCATCATCAATACATCATTTCTTGTTCTCTAATCACAATATATACGATATATATCATAGGAAGTAACAAATATTGTTTAACTCTTCGTTTTACCGGTTCAATCACCAAACTAGCCTACTGCACAAATTGATTTAATCGTTTAGTAAACTTCTGAGTACACTATCCTTTCTCTTGACGAACTTTGGCATATACTATCCAATTTTGTCTAATCTTGGAATTCAATTAGCTCATCATTGTCTATGTCCACCATATTCTGACTCTGCTAGACACCTACAATAAGATCATTTCACTGTTTTAGACATTACAACTCGTAATATTTAGACTACTAAGAATCTACTGTATAAATCTTAGATTCATAAAATGCTTCGGAAGATTCTAGGCAGTAAAAGAATGATCTAGACCCTGCTATTGCTAACATACCGTTTCCCATGGCTATGAAGCTATACACATTCATCTTTGGCTTTTCTCCTCACATTTCCGGTTGCTGGAACTTAGTAGAAGAGGAGCATGTAAAACCTCGGTTTAAACTTTCACTTACTACTTTCTTCAGAAATATAGATGAGCTTCACAAAACAATGCAAATATATTAATGTACTTATCAATCAATGAATCCATGAGCGTATGTAAATGTTCCTTCATTCATTTATCAATTCGTATCCCATCTTACGCACGTCTATATTTGTGTGTCAACACACAGATAAATAAATCCTCATTTACATATTTATAATCTCATCTATTTTTATTTAGCAATGCTCACGTTCTTTTTGTAATGAAAAAAAAACAGATTGGTTAATATTACCATGAGCAAGAACTTTTCCATGACGTTTTACACCATCAATAACAATCGTGTAAGTAACCTTATCTTCAGGTTCTTGTAATGGTGATAAGCGAATATATTTTTGTGGAATAACTTCAATTCTCCTTGTGTCTTCCCATTTAACTGTACAATGAGGTTCTTGTTCACGTTGTTCTTCTGAATAAAAATATGATACATTAATCTAATAGGTAGAGTTTTTTTCTCTTACCAAGTTTATCAACTAACGCGTTCTTCAAGTGCTGCAGCATGTAATCTTACGCGACCAAAAAAAATTAAGGGAAAGTTAGAACTGACTGACAACAACTACAGGGCTATAAAATAAATGGTAAGAAAAAAAGGAATGAAGA